CGTGCATGGCTGTAGTTCCAGCTACTCAGGAGGCTGAAGTGGAAGGATTGCTTAAGCCCAGGAAGCAGAGGTTGCAGTCAACCAAGATCATGCCACTGTATCAGCCTGGGTAACAGAGTGAGATCTCATCTCAAAAAAAAAAAAAAAAAAGAAAAGAAAAGAAATTAAAGAAGACCTAAATAAAGACATGTTCATGGATTGGAAGACTAAATATTGTTATGACAGCAATAATCCCCAAACTAATCTACAGATTCAACGCAAACTCTATCAAAATCCCAGCTGCCTTTCTGGCAAAAATTGACAAGCTGATCCTAAAATTCATATAGTAATGCAAAGAACCCAAATTAGACAAAACAATCTTGAAAGAGAAGAACAAAGTTAGAGAATTTATATTTCCCAATCTTAAAACCTACCAAGCTACAGTAATCAAGACTGTGTTGTGACCTCAGTTCACCAGTAAGAAGAAAGAAAAAACAAGGCTGTGGTACTGGCATACAAGTAGACATACAGACCAGTGTAACAGAAATGAGAGTCCAGATATAAATAAAAATATTTATGATTAATTAATTTTTGACAAGAGCGCAGGCCTCGTGCAGTGGCTCATGCCTATAATCCCAGCACTTTGGGAAGCCAAGGATGGAGGATCACTTGTGGCCAGAAGCTCAAGACAAGCCTGGCCAGCATGCCAAAACCCTGTCTCTACCAAAAATACCTAAATTAAGAAGGTGTGGCCGGGAGCAGTGGCTCAAGCCTGTAATCCCAACACTTTGGGAGGCCGAGGCGGGTGGATCATGAGGTCAAGAGATCGAGACCATCCTGGCCAACATGGTGAAATCCCGTCTCTACTAAAAATACAAAAAATTAGCTGGGCATGGTGGCGCGTGCCTGTAATCCCAGCTACTCAGGAGGCTGAGGCAGGAGAATTGCCTGAACCCAGGAGGCGGAGGTTGCCATGAGCCAAGATCCAGCCTGGGTAACAAGAGCGAAACTCCGTCTCAAAAAAACAAAAAAAAAGAAAGAAAAGAAAAAAAAAAAAAAAAAAGAAGAAGGTGTGGCAGCACACACCTGTAGTCCCAGCTCCTTGGGAGGCTGAGGCAGGAAAATCACTTGAACCCAGGAGGCGGATATTGCAGTGAGCCGAGATAGCACCACTGCACTCCAGCCTAGGTGACAAAGCAAGACTCCATCTCAAAAAAAAAAAAAAAACCTAAATTAAATAATTTTTAACTTTTTATGTTTAAAAAAAATTACGTATTCTGCGTGAATATGACATACAAATGGCCAAAAACATATGAAAAAATACTCACCATCACTAATCAGATAAACCACAATGAGATATTACCTCATACCCATTAGGATGGCTACCATCAAAAAAACAGTAAGTGGGCCAGGCATGGTGGCTCACACCTGTAATCCCAGCACTGTCTTCCCCCCATCCCCCTGCACCCCTGGGATGGAGTCTTGTTCTGTCACCTAGAGCTGGAGTGCAATGGCACAATCTCGGCTCACTAAAACCTCCACCTCCCAGGTTCAAGCAATTCTCCTGCCTCAGCCTCTGGAGAAGCTGGGATAACAGGCACATGCCACCACACCCAGCTAATTTTTGAATTTTTAGTAGAGATGGAGTTTGTCCCGTGAGCTAGGTGGTGTCGTTTGATTATCTAATCCCACAGATGGGCCACCTCACATGAACTCCCCCATTGAGAACATCCAGGCAACAGGTACTCCAAAGCTTGTCTGCAGAACAACCATATATACACCAGGGGGCGCCTGACACCACAATCAGCCATGCCCAGAGGCCCAGTAACCAGCCACCTACACAAGCCAGGCGACGGTTGAACTGCCAACCCATCTGCTCTTCATAGGGGACAGGGCTGGGTGGAAAGCCCAGAGACCCCTTTGTTTATTCGTAAGCTATACTTACTCTCTCAGGGAAGAGCACATCAAACAATGCTAACAGATTTTAATTCATATTTCCTCTGCTCCATATAGGAGCAAGACCCTGGAATAAAGGAATGGGCACATTTACTAGGAAAACCAAGCTTTGCCCAATTAGGAGGGTCACATACTAAAGTAATCACATAAATCCTGGGCCCTAAACTTCCAAAGGGCTTAAAAACAACCCTAAGGCCAGGTGCGGTGCCTCATACCAGTAATCCCAGGACTTTGGAAAGCCAAGGCAGGCAGATCACCTAAGGTCAGGGGTTCAAGACCAGCCTGGCCAACATGGCAAAAACTCATCTCTACTAAAAATACAAAAATTAGCTGGGTGTGATGGCAGACACTTGTAATTCCAGCTACTCAGGAGGCTGAGGTGGGAGAATTGCTTCAACCTAGGAGGCAGAGGTTGCAGTAAGCCAAGATCGTACCACTGCACTCCAGCCTGGGTGACAGAGTGAGACTCTGTCTCAACAAAGAAAAGAAAAAAAGAAAGAAAACAACCCTAAGAATTCCAGAAGGGCAGACACAGTGGCTCACTCTCCTAATCCCAACATGTTGCAAAGCCGAGGCAGGGGAATCACTTGAGGACAGGAGTTCGAGACCAGGCTGGCCAATACAGTGAAACCCCATCTCTACTAAAAATACAAAAATTAGCTGGGCATGGCAGCGTGCAACTGTAGTCCCAACTACTCAGGAGGTTGAGGCAGGAGAATCGCTTGAACCTGAGAGGCAGAGGTTGCAGTGAGCCAAGATTGCACAACTGCACTCCAGCCTGGGCGACAGAGTGAGACTGCATCTCAAAAAAAAAAAAAAAATTTATATATATATATATATATATACACATATATACATGGACTAATGGATGAGCAGCTAACATGTCCCTCTTTGTTATTGTCCTATAAGAGGAGGGAGTGAATTCGGATTTGGTATTTTTGGTCACCAGTCCTCAGGCTCTGAGATGATTCTTCAAAGTCCCCCTCATCCCATTCCTCTTCCAAATTCAAGAGACTTTTCTGAGGGATAAGGAGGGTGCTGGCCAGGAACAGCTACACCCAACCTATGGCTGAGCACCCAGGGGCCTGAGTGCCAGCTCAAGGGACAAGTGACCAGATGAATAATGCTCAGGATGACCACACATGCCCCAGCCCCTGATCCTGGAAACAGTTCCTCCCTGCCCTAGGCAGGTCTAGCAGCCTGGAAGCCTTATGGAAGCCCACTAACATCCAATCTCACAATCCTCGCACAAACTGTCCTGGAGTCAGGGCTTAGGCCTTGGTGGGGAACCCCAGAATCTGCCTTCCACCTCATATATTTGGACAACACATCCCCTTTCCTCCCTCTCTCCCTCCCTCTTTGCCTTGTCAGCACCCTAGAGACCTCTGCCCCTGCCCTGTGGCAGGCACCAACATGCCAATCCCCATCCATGGACATATCACTGAGGCCTCTCAGCTCTCCTTCCCCAAACACTGCAAACCAGTGTTACCATGCATACCTCGCTGCCAGGCAAACTTCCCAGTCTCCACGGGAACAGGACCAAACCTTCCTCACCTACAAGTCTCTCGGGCATGAAACCTCTTGGCTTCCCTCCTTCCATCACTTGCTCCCTGTTCTCTTTTTTTTTTTTTGAGACAGAGTTTCGCTCTTGTTACCCAGGCTGGAGTGCAATGGCACGATCTCGGCTCACCGCAACCTTCGCCTCCTGGGTTCAGGCAATTCTCCTGCCTCAGCCTCCTGAGTAGCTGGGATTACAGGCACGCACCACCATGCCCAGCTAACTTTTTGTATTTTTAGTAGAGACGGGGTTTCACCATGTTGACCAGGATGGTCTCGATCTCTTGACCTCGTGATCCACCCGCCTCGGCCTCCCAAAGTGCTGGGATTACAGGCTTGAGCCACCGCGCCCGGCCTTCCCCTGTTCTCTTAATAGTGAAAAAGTCTCACAAGATTTGATGGTTATAAAAACAGGAGTTTCCCTACACAAGCACTCCTCTCTTTGTCTGCCACCCTCCACATAAAAGGTGACTTGCCTGTTTTTCTCACTCTTTTACCTCTTCTGTCATTGATATCTATGCCCCAACACATACACCCAGTTCATAAAAGGATGTTTTCTCCCAATCTCCTCTTAAGTCCTCCATTTCCTCTACATAGTGGCTTTTTCTTTTTTTCTTTTGTATATTTTTTATTTTTTGGTAGAGACAGGGTCTCACTATGTTACCCAGGCTGGTCTTGAACTCCTCGGTTCAAGTAATTCTCCTGCCTGAGCCTCCCAAAATGCTTGGATTACAGGTGTGAGCCACCACACCAGGCTTTTTTTTTTAACATACAAAATTTTTTTTTAAAAAAGAGATGGGGTGTCACTATATAGCCCAGGATGGTCTCAAACTTCTAGGCTCAAGTGATCCTCCTGCCTTGGCCTCCTAAAGTGCTAGTATTACAGGCATGAGGTACCATGCCCAGCCTCTTTTTATTTTTTATTATTATTTTTTTTGAGATGGAGTCTTGCTCTGTCACCTAGGCTGGAGTACAGTGGCGTGATTTCAGCTCACTGCAACCTCCGCTTCCCAGGTTCAAGCAATTCTCCTGCCTCAGTCTCCTGAGTAGCTGGGTCTACAGGCACATGCCACCATGCCCAGCTAATTTTTGTATTTTTAGTAGAAACAAGGCTTCACCATGTTAGCCAGACTGGGCTCAAACCCCTGACCTCAGGTGATCTACACACCTCTGCCTCCCAAAGTGCTGGGATTACAGGTGTGAGCCACTATGCCCAGCCTCTTTTTATTTTTTTAAATAGAGATGAGGTCTCACTAGGTTGTCCAGACGTGACATGAGACTCATCTATCCAACTAGCCCAGGGTATTCCAGACGCCTCTGTGCTACAGGCTCCTGGGCCTTCACAGGACTCATGAGTATCACATAAGTTCGTCTCCTCCAGCCTTTAGTGAGCACCTGTAAAGTCAATTCCCACCTGTCTCCCCTAACTCCCGACCACTCCCACACACAAATGGAGAAGAATCTGCACTTGTGGAGAAGCCCACCCAGAAAAATCAGGAGCCCTTTACCTCACAATAAACAATGTCCGCTCCATAATCCAGGGCAAGCAGCCGCATTGGAAGAGTCCCTACCCGAACCATTGGGGCCAGAATTAGCTTGTTATGGTAGCACAGAGAGAGGCTATTCACAATCATTCCTCCTCTGCTATAGCCTGAAAAAAAAAGAGAAAACAAGAGTCAGAAATTCAAATGGAGAAAATCTCTCCTGTTATCAAGAACAGACTTCCCTTCTTCCTTCTAGCACACAGCAGTTGGTTTTCCTTTTCTTTTGGTTATCGGTTTGGTTTGTTTGAGACGGTCTCATTTTGTCACCCAGGCTGGAGTGCAGTGCAGTGCTCACTGCAACCTCTGACTCCTGGATGCAAGCAATTCTCCTGCTTCAGCCTCCTGAGTAACTGGAATTACAGGTGCCTGACACAACGCCTGGCTAATTTTTGTAAATTTTTTTACTAACTTTTTAGTAAAGTTGGGGTTTCACAGCTTGGCGCGATGGCTCCACCTGTAATCCCAGCACTTTGGGAGGCCAAGGTGGGTCGATCACTGAAGTCAGGAGTTTGAGACCAGCCTGGCCAACACGGTGAAATCCTGTCTCTACTAAAAAATACAAAAATTAGCCAGGTGTGGTGGCAGGCACCTGTAATCCCAGCTATGCAGGAGGCTGAGGCAGGAGAATCATTTGAACCCAGGAAGTGGGGGTTGCAGTGAGGCAAGATGGTACCGTTGTACCCCAGCCTGGGCAACAAGGGTGAGACTCTGTCTCAAAAAAAAAAAAAAAAAAAAAAAAACATGGAGTTTCACCATGTTGGCCAGGCTGGTCTTGAACTCCAGACTTAAGGTGGTCCGCCCACCTTGGCCTCCCAAAGTGCTGGGACTGCAAGCATGAGCCACTGCACCTGGCCTGTTTTTCTCTTCCATGAACATAGAAAGTATAGATGCACATTCATTCATCTAATAAATATTTATTAAGGGCTTAGTCTTTGCCCATCACTGTCCCAGTCTCCTGGGATACATCAGAAAAGAAAACAAATCCCAGCACTTTGGGAGGCCGAGGCGGGTGGATCACGAGGTCAAGAGATCGAGACCATCCTGGTCAACATGGTGAAACCCCGTCTCTACTAAAAATACAAAAATTAGCTGGGCATGGTGGCGCGTGCCTGTAATCCCAGCTACTCAGGAGGCTGAGGCAGGAGAATTGCCTGAACCCAGGAGGCGGAGGTTGCGATGAGCCGAGATCGTGCCATTGTACTCCAGCCTGGGTAACAAGAGCGAAACTCCGTCTCAAAAAAAAAAAAAAAAGAAAAGAAAAGAAAACAGACAAAAATCCCTGGTCTTGGGCCAGGCGCGGTGGCTCAAGCCTGTAATCCCAGGACTTTGGGAGGCCGAGGTGGGTGGATCACGAGGTCAAGAGATCGAGACCATCCTGGTCAACATGGTGAAACCCCATCTCTACTAAAAATACAAAAAATTAGTTGGGCATGGCGGCACATGCCTGTAATCCCAGCTACTCAGGAGGCTGAGGCAGGAGAATTGCCTGAACCCAGGAAGCAGAGGTTGCAGTGAGCCGAGATCACCCCATTGCACTCCAGCCTCGGTAACAAGAGTGAAACTCCGTCTCAAAAAAAAAAAAAAAAAAAATCCCTTTTCTGGAAGTCTTCACTCATTTTTTTTCTTTTTTTTTTAAACTCTACAGTGGAGTATCTGAGGCAGAATTTTAATTCTAGCCAAGGAGTATACGCAAAAAAAAAAAAAACCCAAAAAGCATAACAAATAAATAAACTATATAGTTTGTTGGGAAACTGGTAATGCTAGAGCAGGAGAAGGAAGACTGAAAGTGCTGGGGATGGGTTGCAATTTGAAATAGAGAAGTCAATGCAGGCTTTAATAAGAAGTTAAGATTTGATCCGTGAAGACCCCTGAGAAGAAAAAAAAAATTGAGCAAAGATTTGAGTTACTCAAGAAGAATGCACAGCAGAGGAAACGGCCAATGTAAAGGTCCTGAGGCAGGAGTTTACCTACTGTGCTAGAAGAACAGCAAGAAAGCCAATGTGATTAAAGCATATAATGTGGCCAGGCGCAGTGGCTCACAACTATAATCCCAGTAATTTGCGAAGCCAAGGTAGATGGATCACTAGAAGTCAGTTCGAGGCCAGCCTAACCAACATAGCAAAACCCCATCTCTACTTAAAACATAAAAAATTAGGCCGGGTGCAGTGGCTCACACCTGTAATCCCATCCCTACTTAAAATATAAAAACATGAGTCCACGCGAGGTGGCTCACGCCTGTAATCCCAGCACTTCGGGAGGTGGAGGCAGGTAGATCACAAAGTCAAGAGTTCGAGACCAGCCTGGACAATATGGTGAAACCCTGTCGCCCCTAAAAATACAAAAATTAGCCAGGCATGGTGGTGCATGTCTATAATCCCAATTACTAGGGAGGCTGAGGCAGGGGAATTGCTTGAACCCAGGAGGCAGAGGTTGCAGTGAGCCAAGATTGCACCATTGAACTGCAGCCTGAGTGACAGGGCAAGACTCCTTATCCAAATAAATAAATAAATAAATATGCATATAAATAAATTAGCTGGGTGTGCTGGTACACACCTGTAATCCCAGCTACTCAGGAAGCTGTGGCACGATAATCGCTTGAACTCAGGAGGCACAGGTTGCAGTGAGCTGAGATTGCACCACTGCACTCCAACCTGGGCAACAGAGCAAGAATATCTCAAAAAAAAAAAAAGTATAGAATGAGAAAAAGAGAGACCAGGCACACCGGAGCATGTTTATAATCCCAGCACTTTGGGAGGCCAAGGCACGGGGGCCAGGAGTTTGCAGACCAGCCTGGGTGACATAGAGAAACCCAGTCTCTACAAAAAAAAAAAAAAAAAAAAAAAAAAAAAAAGGCCGGGCACGGTGGCTCAAGCCTGTAATCCCAGCACTTTGGGAGGCCGAGGCGGGTAGATCACGAGGTCAAGAGATCGAGACCATCCTGGTCAACATGGTGAAACCCCGTCTCTACTAAAAATACAAAAAATTAGCTGGGCATGGTGGCACGTGCCTGTAATCCCAGCTACTCAGGAGGCTGAGGCAGGAGAATTGCTTGAACCCAGGAGGCGGAGGTTGCAGTGAGCCGAGATCGTGCCATTGCACTCCAGCCTGGGTAACAAGAGTGAAACTCTGTCTCAAAAAAAAAAATTTTATTTTGAGATGGAGTCTTACTCTGTCACCCAGGATGGAGCACGGTGGTACAATCTCAGCTCACTGTAGCCTCCACCTCCTGGGTTTAAGTGAGTCTCCTGCCTCAGCCTCCCGAGTAGCTGGGACTACAGGCATGTACTGCCACGCCCAGCTAATTTTTATGTTTTTAGTAGAGATGAGGTTTCACCATGTTGGCCAGGCTGGTCTTGAACTCCTGACCTCAAGTGATCTGCCTGCCTTGGCCTCTCAAAGTGCTGGGATTATAGGCATGAATGACCATGCCCAGCCGAAAAAATATATATTTTTTTAATTATCCAGGCATGGTGGCATGTGCCTAAAGTCCCAGCAATTTGGAAGGCTGAGGCAGAAGGATTACATGAGCCAAGGAGTTTAATTTACAATCATATATGATAATAGCACTACACTCACTCCAGCCTAGGAAACAAATCGAGGAAAACAAAGGAAAAGAAAGAGTCAGATACACAATGTTAACAGCAGTAAGAAAACAGGATACAATGGTCAGATCATGTAGAGCCTTGTAGGACACTCTGAGAACTTTGTTAGCTCTGCATGAACTGTCTCATATTTTTACATGATCATAATGACTGCTGTACTAAGAGCAGACTATCCGGGGGATAGATGCAGGAAGACAAGGGAGAAGATGATTCCATAATCAATGTGAAAAATGATGGTGGCTCCATCAGACCAAGGAATTGGTAGTAAAGGTTGTGAGAAGTGGTCATATTCTACAAATACTCTGAAGGGAGAGCAATAGGAAGAAAAAGAAGAAAATCAGAATCTCATGTCCCAAAGATAACTACTGCTAATATTATTTATTCTTTTTTTTTTAGACGGAGTCTTGCTCTGTCACCCAGGCTGGAGTGCAGGGGTGCGATCTCAGCTCACTGCAACCTCTATCTTCTGGGTTCAAGTAATTCTTTGGCCTCAGCCTCCTGAGTAGCTGAGACTACAGGCGCGTACCACCATGCCTAATTTTTTTATTTTTAGTAGAGACGGGGTTTCACCATTTTGGCCAGGCTGGTCTCGAACTCTTGACCTCATGATCTGCCTACCTTGGCCTCCCAAAATGCTGGGATTACAGGCGTAAGCCACCATGCCAGGTATAATATTATTTATTTTTTTAGATCTACTACTAATGAGCTAGTATGAAAAAAAAAAGAAAAGAAAATAATAATAATATTATTATTTATTCTAACCAAATATGGTCTACTCTAAACAGTCACAAAGAGGCCAGGCACATGCATGAATTATAGCTCATGCTATAATTCCAGTGTTTTCGGAGGATGAGATAGATGGATCGCTTGAGCTCAGGAGTTCAAGACAAGCCTGGGCAACATGGTAAAACCCTCCGTGTCTACCCTAAAAAAAAATACAAAAAAAAAAAAAAAAAATTAGCCGGGCACGGTGGCTCACGCCTGTAATCCTAGCACTTTGGGAGGCTGAGGTGGGTGGATCACCTGAGGTCAGGCGCTCAAGACCAACCTGGCCATCATGGTGAAACCCCATCTTTATATATATATATATATATATATATATATATATACACACATATATATATATGTGTGTGTATATATATATGTGTGTATATATATATGTGTATATATATATGTGTATATATATATATGTATATATATATGTATATATATATAAATATATACACATACACATAAATTAGCCACGGGTGGTGGACTATATATCTATAGTCCCAGCTACTCAGGAGGCTGAAGTGAGCAGATTGCTTGAGGCCATGAGTTTGAGACCAGCCTGACCAACACAGCAAAATCTCATCTCTACAAAAAATAAAAACAATAAAAAGCCAGGTGCAATGGCTCATGCCTATAATCTTTGGAGATGGAGATCACCCTGGAGTTGGAGATCAGCCCAGGTAAAATGGCAAGACCTCACCTCTACAGAAACATAAAAATTAGCCAGGAGTAGT